CCATAACTCATAATTAATTTACTTTTTAAATTCTTTTTGAAACTTAAAAGAGATTCACTAAAGTTAATTTCATCATTTAAATTTTTCACATTTTAACACCAAAAAGATACACAAAACTAAATGCTGTGTGTAATTATAAAACTGGTGCAGAAAAGGTTACCTCTAAGAACACAGTGTACCATAGTTTACTGAATGATCTGAATGATGCTGTGGTGAAACTTTTAATATAACAATTAACTTTGCTTTGACCACTACAGGATTCCACACTTAAAGTTTAAATTAATATGTGATGCCAACTGAACAGAATAAAAAAAGATTATATTATGTTGAAACATTTATTCTCTAAATTATAACTGGTAACAAGCCAAGTACCTAAATAAAACATCTTAACATGATAAAGTATTTACAAAATGTAAGTCTTAATAAATATATTAAGCATTTAGAGAAAAATGCATTATTTGACAAACTGTATGCATTTTGAGCAGCAGAAGCAGCCAGTTTACATGCAGTCAATGGTGGACGCGCGTCTAGGAGCAGTGTGGCACGTTTAACACATTTTGAGCACCGCACAATGAAACTATAGGTGTGGTTTGATCGGTTTCTGTGCATGAGGCGCGTCCAAAGCAGCCGCTGCTCGAGTTCAAAAATCTGAACTTTTGCTGCTCGACGCACCGTGTCAACCAATTAGAGAGACTCGTTTTTCCACATGACGGTTTCCTGATTGTTGCCCACTAACCTGAAACAGATGGACAGGAGCTCTTTAGCTGAAATAGACCRTCTGTAGTTGATGTTCTGGCTGGAGATATCAGCACCGATGTGGGTCTGTGGCTCRTTAAACTGACCGCGGTCTTTGTACAAAAATAGTCTGTAAGCCCAAAGCTCCAAACTCACAGAACAAACTGCCTCTAAACTATCTGGTGAATTAATTATCTGGTGAATTAATTATCTGGTGAGCACAATGTTCACTTGCTCACACTAAATAAAGCAAAGCCATTTTCTTTATTTCAGCTTTATTTCATCCACTATCAAAGAAAGACTGAAAAAAAACAAGACGCTCCTCCCTCTTCAGACGTGTGTCTGGTCACATTTGGTCTGTACGCACATTATTGACAAGCAGCCAACTTATGCTACATTCACACCAAATGCGTTGTGCACCTCCAAAAATCTCAAAACGCAYGCCTCCTGACGCTAGTGTCCAGTGAGGACAGATGCATTTCATGTGAACRTAGACGCGCGTCGAGAGGAGGAGCYGTTTTAACCGTAGTTTTGATAACTTACCAGACATGCTGACTTCCTCACTAATCCTCCTCCAGGTAAAGTCCTTTTTATTTCTATCAYRATAAYGRACACTGGAATGATCATAAATGAACRRATTATCAGTTTTTCCTCCATTGTTTGTGTGATCTGATTTCCYGGGCTTCCGGTATTTCTGGCTCATCACCAGTGTGTCACTGAGCAGAGTCTCTCTGATGGGTTGATGCGACGCGTCGAGCAGCAAAAGTTCACATTTTCCAACTCACGCGTCGGACGCTTTGGACAAGCCGCACCATCCGAAAATGCTCAAAACGCAGGAACCGCTTTGAACCGCGCTGCTCAAAACGTACCAGACACACTGCTCGGCTTCTAGACGCCCCTAGATGCGTGTCCACCATTGACTTTACATGTAAACCAGATGCTCCTGATGCTCAAAATGCATTTAGTGTAAATGTAGCATTAAGGCATCAGGCGCATTTTTGCTGTGACCCCGGCTTCAAAGAATCTCAGTTTCATCTCTACTTATTCTGCTCTTGCTGGAGAACATAGAAACTCTCTGGTTTCATCAAACTGAAGATCCTCACCTTCTTCGACCAGTTTTCTAAAAACATATGTAGGAGGTGAGCTTAAGGTGAATTAAGCCTTT